GAGACCCCAAAACTGCTCCCTGCACCCCAAAACTGCACACGGGGCGTCGGGACCCCAAAACTGCTCCCTGCACCCCAAAACTGCCCACGGAGCGTCGGGACCCCAAAACTGCTCCCTGCACCCCAAAACTGCCCACGGAGCGTCGGGACCCCAAAACTGCTCCCTGCACCCCAAAACTGCCCCCACGGAGCGTCTGGGGATCCCCCAGGACATGGAAACCCCAAAACTACACCTGGAGCCTCCAGGGGATCCCCCAGGAGACCCCAAAACTGCTCCCTGCACCCCAAAACTGCACACGGGGCGTCGGGACCCCAAAACTGCTCCCTGCACCCCAAAACTGCCCACGGAGCGTCTGGGGATCCCCGAGGACATGGAAACCCCCAAACTGCTCCCTGTACCCCAAAACTGCACAAGGACCCTCCAGGGGATCCCCCAGGAGACCCCAAAACTGCTCCCTGCACCCCAAAACTGCCCATGGACCCTCCAGGGGATCCCCCAGGAGACCCCAAAACTGCTCCCTGCACCCCAAAACTGCCCACGGAGCGTCTGGGGATCCCCGAGGACATGGAAACCCCCAAACTGCTCCCTGTACCCCAAAACTGCACAAGGACCCTCCAGGGGATCCCCCAGGAGACCCCAAAACTGCTCCCTGCACCCCAAAACTGCCCATGGACCCTCACCCCAAAACTGCCCCCACGGAGCGTCCAGGGGATCCCCCAGGGCACAGAGACCCCAAAACTGCTCCCTGCACCCCAAAACTGCCCCCACGGAGCGTCCAGGGGATCCCCCAGGGCACAGAGACCCCAAAACTGCTCCCTGCACCCCAAAAATCCTAGCCCGGAGTGAGGAATGGGTTTGGGGTCACACCGAGGGATGAACCCTCCAGGAGACCCCAAAACTGCTCCCCGCACCCCATAACTGCCCACGGAACCTCCAGGGGGTCCCCCAGGATATGGAAACCCCAAAACTGCTCCCCGCACCCCAAAACTGCCCACGGAGCGTCCAGGGGATCCCCCCAGGGCACACAGACCCCAAAACTTCCCCCTGCACCCCAAAACTGCACGTGGAGCCCCCAGGGGATCCCCCAAACATCCCATCCCGGAGTGAAGAATGGGTTTGGGATCACGCCGACGGGGTGAATCCTCCAGGAGACCCCAAAACTGTGCCCCGCACCCCAAAACTGCCCATGGAGCCTCCGGGGAATCCCCCAGGAGACCCCAAAACTGCTCCCCCCCCAAACATCCCATCCCGGAGTGAGGAATGGGTTTGGGGTCACGCCGAGGCTGGGGCGACATTTCGGGTCCCCCTTTTGTGCCATGGGGGTCCCCCCGGGGGTGTCCCCCTCCCCAATCCCAAATCCGGGGGTGCGCGGCTGCGTCTCCCCAAAATTTGTCTCTCCCCAAAATTCGGGTCTCCCCAAAATTCGGGCTCAGGTCGTGCCACGTGAGGCGTGGGCCGGGATCGGCGCCTCCATCCCGTTCCCGTTCCCATTCCATTCCCGTTCCCAGCCCAATCCTGTTCCCGTTCCCAGTCCCATCCCAATCCCATTCCCTTTCCTTTTTCCATTCCCATCCCACTCCCATTCCCTTTCCCATTCCCATCCCAATCCCATTTCCAATCTCATCCCATTCCCGTTCCCATTCCCATCCCATCCCATTTCCAGTCTCATCCCATTCCCGTTCTCATTCCCATTCCCATTCCAGTCCCATCCCAATCCCATTCCCTTTCCGTTTTCCATTCCCATCCCAATCCCATTTCTAATCTCATCTCATTCCCAATCCTATTCCCGTTCCCATCCCAGTCCCATTCCCTTTCCACACTCACCGTCCGAGGGGATCCAGGGGGGTCGGGGGGGGCCGGGGACCCCGATTTTGGGGGGGCGCGGAGGAGGCGCCGCCGCCCGCCGGCATGGCGGGGGTGGGATCGGGATCTTTGGGATCTTTGGGATCTTTGGGATCTTTGGGATCGGGATCGTCACCGCGCGGAGGCGGCGCTGGAGCAGCCGGGGGGGCTCCGGGCACGGGGCTGCGGGGAGGGGACCCCCCAAAAAAAGGCTCTCACCCTTATTGGGGTGCGGGGTTGGCCGCATTGCCCCGGTGACCCCAAAAGCGCGCGTGCACAGCCGAGCCCCCCCCCCGCTTTGGGGCGCTCCCAAAATCGGGGGGTGCAGGGCCGGGGGGGCCCCGCCGGGAGGTGGCAACAAAATTTGGGGTCCCCCCCCCGCCTCCGCTTGCTGCTCTGCCCAGTTTGGGGTGCGGGGCTGGGGAAACCGCCAGAGGGGCGCCCCCAAAATTGGGGGTGCGGGGTGGGGAACCCCCCAAAACTGCAGGGCTGGGTATCCCCCTTCCTGACCCCAAATTTGGGGGTGCTGGGTAACCCCCCTCTTCCTGCCCCCAATTTGGGGGTGCAGGGTACCCCCCCCTTCCTGACCCCAATTTGGGGGTGCAGAGCTGGGTACCCCCCCCTTCCTGACCCCAATTTGGGGGTGCGCGGCTGGATAACCCCCCCCTTCCTGACCCAATTTTGGGGTGCAGGGCCGGACCCCCCCTTCCTGACCCAAATTTGGGGGTGCAGAGCTGGGTACCCCCCCCTTCCTGACCCCAATTTGGGGGTGCTGGATAACGCCCCCCTCTTCCCGACCCCAAATTGGGGCCCCCCGAGCCACGCGCACGCCACGTGACCGCCCCGCCCCCTCCCTGTGTTTACATGTTTCAGCCAATCAGCGTGCTTCTACCAAGGCGGCCTGGCGGCGTGGCACATTTGTGACGCCTCCCCCCATTGGGCGAGGCGCCTGTCAATCATCCTCCAGCCGCGAGGGCGGGGCGTTCGGTGTTATTTACATCGCGCGTGGCGCCGCCCCCCGCGCGCTGCCCGTCTGCCCCACGTGGGGGACGCGTGCCCTCTGCCAATCAGAGCCGCCGGCGGCAGCCAATCCGGAGCGCCGCTCGGTGGGTGGGGTTACCTTCATGATTGCCAGCTAAACGCCGCAATAGCAACGCGCTTTATACCCGTGCCGCCCAACCAGAACGCCGAGGGGCGGGGCTACGCGGCGGTGCTGTCCAATGGGAGGCGTGGGCGTGTCCGCGGCGGGAGGGGCGGGGCGCGGCGGCGGCGGAGGGCGCGGAGCGGCACCGGCCGGGCCCGAGGTACCGGGGGACCGGGGGCGGCCCCGCCCCCGGGGGGCGCAGGCCCGGCCCGGCCCGGCCCGGCCGGCGTTGGGGCCCTGGCCGGGGAACGGCATCCCGGGAGCCCGAGAGAGCCGCCGCAGTCCGCTGGTGGTGGGCCGGGATCGGCGCCTCCATCCCGTTCCCGTTCCCATTCCATTCCCATCCCAATCCCATTCCCAATCCCATTCCCATTCCAGTCCCATCCCAATCCCATTCCCTTTCCGTTTTCCATTCCCATCCCAATCCCATTTCTAATCTCATCTCATTCCCAATCCTATTCCCGTTCCCATCCCAGTCCCATTCCCTTTCCCATCCCCATTCCCATCCCAATCCCTTTCCCATTCCCATCCCAGTCCCATTCCCTTTCCCATCCCCATTCCCATCCCAATCCCTTTCCCATTCCCATCCCAATCCCATTCCCATTCCAGTCCCATTCCCAATCCCATTCCCTTTCCCATTCCCATCCCATCCCATTCCCATCCCATCCCATTCCCGTTCCCATTCCCATTCCACAGGGTCAGGCACACCCCCGCTCCCCATGGATCCCCAGGCCGTGGCACACTCACATTTTGGGGAGGTCTCTGCCCCCAGATTCCCCCTCCAGCCGGGATTTGGGATATTTCTGGGATGTTTGGGATTTTTTCCTTGCCAGCCCAGTGCAGGGCCAGGTGAGGACACCGGGCTGGCTGTCCAGCATCCCAAATCCCAGGATCTGGGAAAGGCTTTCCCACGCTCCTTGGGGTGTTTGGGATAAAACCTCTGGGATTTGGAGCGTTATCCTGGAAACATCCACGTTTGGGGAATGTGGGGTTTTCGTGGAATCCTGGAATGGCTTGGGGGTTGGAATGGGTTAAATCCCATCCAGGGATGTTTTCCACCATCCCAGGTGGATCCAGCCTGGCCTGGGATCCCGGGATTCTCTGGGAATTCCAGCCCAGCCAGGAATTCCTTGCCCAATCTCCCTTTTCCCAGTGGAAGCCATTCCCTGTGTCCTGTCCCTCCATCCCTTGTCCCATCTTTTTACAATCCCTGATCCCAAAAACCCAACCATTCCTTTTCCCATTTTTCCCTCTCCAGCTCTCTTGGAGCCCCTTCAGGGACTCTGAGAATTCCCTGGATTTTTCCCTTCTCCAGGGGAACATTCCCAGATTTCCCAGCCTGGCTCCTTTTCCAGTTCCATAAAGATTTAACCCTTTGGGAATTCTCCCAGTTTTCCAACCCAGTCCAGGGCTCCTGTCACTGCAGGAAAGGAGGGAAGTGGGATTGTCCCTTCCCAAGAAAATTTGGGAATGATGAGTCCCCCAGGGCTCATCCTGGCTCAGCCATTCCTGCGGGGATGGGATAATCCTGGAACTGTCACCGCTTCCAGAATTCCAGCTCTGAAATTCCAGGAGAATTCCAGCTCTGTAATCCCGGGGGAATTCCACTTTTGGAATCCCAGAAGAATTCCAGCTGTGGAATTCCAGGAGAATTACAGCTTAGGAATCCCTGGAGAATTCCAGCTCCAAAATCCTGGAAGAATTCCATCTCTGGAATCCCGAGAGAATTCCAGCTGTGGAATCCCAAGAGAATTCCAGCTCTGAAATCCCGGGAGAATTCCAGTTTTGGAATCCCAGGAGCTGCCGTGTTCCCTGTCCAGGTCCTGCCTGCTCCAGTGGGATTTGGGATTTTGGGAGCGGCAGCAAAACCGTGGCTGGAATCCTGGAATTTCGGGTTCAGGTGGGAAAAGGGATCTGAGATCCCAAATCCAAGCTGGGCTTCCCTTCCTGCTTTTCCAGGGGGAATGGGGCTGGGAAGCAGAGCCAGGCATGAATTCCCTGTGGAATTCCCAGCTGGAATTGCTGCTCCTGCTTGACAGGGAATGGATTTTCCCCAGGGATGGATTTTGGGAAGGAATTCTGCTGGTTAACCCTTCCTGTGCCACAGGGATGCTGCGAGCCTGGCTGGGAGAGCTGGGAATGTTCTCCTGGAGAAGGGAAATTCCAGGGAATGCTCAGAGTCCCTGGAGGGGCTCCAGAAGAGCTGGAATTTGGGACAAGGCCTGCAGGGACAGGACACAGGGAATGGCTCCCACTGGCAAAGGGGAGATTGGGCTGGGATCTTGGGAAGGAATTCCTGGCTGGGAGGGTGGGCAGGGGCTGGGCTGGAATTCCCAGAGCAGCTGTGGCTGCCCCTGGATCCCTGGCAGTGCCCAAGGCCAGGTTGGATCCACCTGGGATAGGGGAGGTCCTACCCATGGATGGGCTGGGAATGGATCTAAGGTCTTTTCCAACCCATTCCAGGATTCTGGAACTCTTTTGCTGTGGGAATGTTCTCCTGGAGAAGGCAAAATTCCAGGGAATCCTCAGAGCTCCTAAGCTGGAGAGGGATGGGGACAAGGCCTGCAGGGACACAGGGAATGGCTCCCACGATGGAATCCCGCGGTGCCCGTGGGGTCTGGGCTGGGTTTGGGATCTCCAGCAGCTCCCTCATTCCCAAATCCCTCATCCCAGAGTCCCTAAGGATGAATGGCTCCGAGCTGGCCAGCACCACGGCGTCCAACCCCAAATCCAAGGAGGATCCGGTTGGGAATGGGCACGAGGAGAAGGAGAACAACCCCTTCGCTGAGTACATGTGGATGGAGAACGAGGAGGACTTCAACCGGCAGGTGAGATTCCCACGGCCGGGAATTCCTGGGATTCGGGTTCAGCATGGGGGGATTCCCACAGCTGGGAATTCCTGGGATTCGGGTTCAGCATGGGGGGATTCCCACAGCCGGGAATTCCTGGGATTCGGGTTCAGCATGGGGGGATTCCCACAGCTGGGAATTCCTGGGATTCGGGTTCAGCATGGGGGGATTCCCACAGCTGGGAATTCCTGGGATTCGGGTTCAGCATGGGGGGATTCCCACAGCTGGGAATTCCTGGGATTCGGGTTCAGCATGGGGGGATTCCCAGACATTCCCACAGCTGGGAATTCTTGGGATTTGGGAACAGGGTGGATTTCATCCTGGGATTGATTCCCAGAGATTCCCACGCCCAGAAACTCTCGGGATTCAGGGTGGATTTCAGCCTGGGGTGGTTCTCAGGGAATTCCCCATCCAGGAATTCCTGGGATTTGGTTCATCCTGGGGGTGGTTCCCAGACATTCCCACATTTGGGAATTCTCAGGATTTGGGTTCAGCCTGGGGTTGATTTCCAGAGAATTCCACATTCAGGAATTCTTGGGATTTGGATTTCAGCTTGGGAGTGATTCCCACAGGTTCCCACATCCAGGAATTCTTGGGATTTGGGAACGGGGCAGATTTCAGCCTGGGATTGATTCCCAGAGTTTCCCACATGCAATTCCTGGGATTCGGGTTCAGCATGGGGGGATTCCCACAGCTGGGAATTCCTGGGATTCGGGTTCAGCATGGGGGGATTCCCACAGCTGGGAATTCCTGGGATTCGGGTTCAGCATGGGGGGATTCCCACAGCTGGGAATTCCTGGGATTCGGGTTCAGCATGGGGGGATTCCCACAGCTGGGAATTCCTGGGATTCGGGTTCAGCATGGGGGGATTCCCACAGCTGGGAATTCCTGGGATTCGGGTTCAGCATGGGGGGATTCCCACAGCTGGGAATTCCTGGGATTCGGGTTCAGCATGGGGGGATTCCCACAGCTGGGAATTCCTGGGATTCGGGTTCAGCATGGGGGGATTCCCACAGCTGGGAATTCCTGGGATTCGGGTTCAGCATGGGGGGATTCCCACAGCTGGGAATTCCTGGGATTCGGGTTCAGCATGGGGGGATTCCCACAGCTGGGAATTCCTGGGATTCGGGTTCAGCATGGGGGGATTCCCACAGCTGGGAATTCCTGGGATTCGGGTTCAGCATGGGGGGATTCCCAGACATTCCCACAGCTGGGAATTCTTGGGATTTGGGAACAGGGTGGATTTCATCCTGGGATTGATTCCCAGAGATTCCCACGCCCAGAAACTCTCGGGATTCAGGGTGGATTTCAGCCTGGGGGTGGTTCTCAGGGAATTCCACATCCAGGAATTCCTGGGATTTGGGTTCAGCCTGGGGGGATTCCCAGACATTCCCACATTTAGGAATACTCAGGATTTGGGTTCAGCCTGGGGTTGATTCCCAGAGATTCCCACATCCAAGAATTCTTGGGATTCATGGTGGATTTCAGCCTGGGGTGGTTCCCAGAGAATTCCACATCCAGGAATTCTTGGGATTTGGATTTCAGCTTGGGAGTGATTCCCACAGGTTCCCACATCCAGGAATTCTTGGGATTTGGGAACGGGGCAGATTTCAGCCTGGGATTGATTCCCAGAGTTTCCCACATGCAGGAATTCTTGGGATTCATGGTGGATTTCAGCCAGGGGTGGTTCCCAGTTCATGTGTATCCATAGGGAAAACGATCTGGGAATGTTGTGCTTTGATCCTTCCCGAGGGGTGGTGGCATTACCAGTCCCTTCTCCCGAATTTTTGAGATTCTCCTTCCCTTTCCTTGGGATCACCCCCTGGAATTTGGGTGATTCCGCTTTGGGGGGAAATCCTGAATTACAGGGAATTTCTGGAACAGGCAGAGCTTTTGGGATGTTGTGCTGGAAGCAAACAGCTCTGGAATTTGGGAATAATGAGCTGGAAGAGTTTTGGATCCTCATCCCAATCCCAGGACATTCCCTGCAGGCTCCCAGGTCATTCCAGGAGCTGGAGACACCTCGGACACCTGGGAGAGGAAGGAGCTTTTCCCTGGATACTCTCCCTTCCCTAAAACATTCCCAGGCTCCAATTCCCATTTCCAGGGTGTCCAGGAAGGCTGGGAAAAAAAAGGGAATTCCCACATTCCCAATTTCTGGAACAGGCAGAGCTTTTGGGATGTTGTGCTGGAAGTCAAACAGCTCTGGAATTTGGGAATAATGAGCTGGAAGAGCTTTGGATCCTCATCCCAATCCCAGGACATTCCCTGCAGGCTCCCAGGTCATTCCAGGAGTTGGAGACACCTCGGACACCTGGGAGAGGAAGGAGCTTTTCCCTGGATACTCTCCCTTCCCTAAAACATTCCCAGGCTCCAATTCCCATTTCCAGGGTGTCCAGGAAGGCTGGGAAAAGGGAATTCCCACGTTCCCGTTCCATGGCTTTGGGGCTGGATTTTCCTCCAGAGGTTTTCCCTGTTCCTGAATTTTCCAAAGCCACGTGGCTTCCCTGGATTTTCCAGCTGGGATTTGGGGCATCCATCCAATGGGGTGCAGCTCTCCAGGTGCTTTTCCAGCCCTTTCCCATGGATCTGGAAATTCCTTCCCCATGGATCCGGCACAGGACGGAGCTGAGTGAAACATCCAGGCTGGAAAACAGGGAATGTTCACCTGGACGTGCAGAATCCTGGGATAATCATCCTCCTGCTGGGATGAGCTGACATTCCTGGGATATTTGGATTTTAGATCCCAATTTCTCTGCAGGAATTCCTTCCCAAATCCCAGCTAAACTCCAGTTTTCCAATGGGAAGCCATTCCCTGTGTCCTGTCCCTTTTTTGCCCCCAGTCCTGGAGCCCCTCTTGAATTCCCTGGATTTTCCAGGTGAACATGGAAAACTCAGGCTTTCCCCAACTTTTCATGGATCAAAATTCTGAGGATTGGCTCCTCTTGGAGTCTCCTAAATCCAGAAAAAAACAGGAAAATGGGAGCAGCTGTGATTCCCAGCCCCATCCTCTGCAGTGGCAGCTCCAGGAATTCCAGGCTGGGAAAGCTCTGGGATCACATCCACCATTCCTGGAGCAAGGAATTCCTGGAAAAAAATGAATTCCTGGGAAAAAGGAATTCCTGGGAAAAAAAGAAGGCTCAGGGACCTTCTGGAGCGCCACAATTCCCTGACAGGGGAAGCTGGGTGGGAATCAGGATTTGGGAATGGCAGCAGGATGAGAGGGAAGCTGGGAAAATTGGGAATGTTCCTCTTGGAAAAGAGCTGGAATCCCCATTCCTGGCGGGATTTAACGGGACAGAAAGGATCTCCGAGGGCTTTTCCAACCTCGAGAATTCCACAAATGAGCTCCTTGGAGCTACAGGCTCTTCCCATGGAAAACCTCGGGATTTCCTTCCCATGGAATGTCTCCGGGCAGGTGGAGGAGGAGCTGCAGGAGCAGGAATTCCTGGATCGCTGCTTCCAGGAGATGCTGGAGGAGGAGGACCAGGATTGGTTCATCCCGGCGCGGGATCTTCCCCAGGGAATGGGGCAGCTCCAGCAGCAGCTCCACGGCCTCTCCGTGGGCGACGGACACGGATCCGAGGACATCCTGGTGAGGATCGGCCCAGCCTTGGAATTGTCCCATCCCTGGAATTCTCCTGTCCCTGGAACTGGCCAATCCTTGGGATTGGCCCAGTTTTGGAATTGTCCCATCCCTGAAATTGTCCCATCCTTGGAACTGTCCCATTCTTAAGATTGCCCCATCCTTGGAATTGTCCAATCCGTGGAATTTTACTAGCCTGGGAATTGACCAATCCTTGGAATTGGCCCATCCTTGGAATTGTCCAATCCCTGGAATTCTAGCCCTGGAACTGATCAATCCTTGGAATTCTCCCAGTCTTGGAATTGTCCCAGCCCTGGGATTGGCTCATCTTTGGATTTGTCCCATCCTTGGAATTCTCTCATCCCTGGAATTCTGTCCCTGGAATTGCCCCATCCCTGCAATTGGCCCATGCTTGGGATTCTCCCATCCGTGGAATTCTCCCATCCCTCGAATTGTCCCGTCCTTAAAATTGTCCCAATCCCTGGAATTGGCCCAGGATCCCTGGAAGTGTCCAAGGCCAGGATGGATCCAGCTGGAATAGCGGGACTGGATGGGATTTAAGGATGTAATTGGCTGGAATTGGATGGGATTTAAGGATCCCTTCCCACCCAAACCATTCCACGATTCCATAAATTTGCTCTCCACATGATCCCACTTCCCACAGAAACCCCAGATTTTCCAAATCCAACCTGAGACCCCAAACCTTGGGAACCCTTGACCCATCCCAGGAATCCCTGGAATTCCCAACACTGACAAATCCCATTCCCATCCTTTTTCCAGAGCAAAAGCAACTTGAATCCAGATGCCAAGGAGTTCGTTCCCGGAGTGAAATACTGACCTCGGAAATTCGGGAATGGCCTGGCCAGAGACTGATTCCCTGCTCCAGGGAAAAGTTGGGACATGGGAAGAGCCCGGAGCGGCTCCAGCACCGGGATCTGCTCCAGCTCCAAGTATTTTTGGTTTTCCCTTTTTTTTTTTCTTTTTTTTTCTTCCTGGCTTTTCCTCACTTTTTCTTGGCAGTTTTTGGCTTCCTGGGATTTGTGGCGACCCCGCCAGTGGGAAAATCTTGGAAAAAATCATGGAAAAATCACGGGAAAATCTTGGGGAAAATCATGAAAAAATCACTGAAAAATCATGGAAAATCTTGGGGAAAATCATGGGAAATCAGTCATGGGAAAATCACAGAAAAATCATGGAAAGCCAATCATGGGAAAATCAGGTTTTTCTGCTTTCGGAGGATTTTTAGGGTTGGGACTGGTTTTTCCCTGATTTTCTGGAATGGAATTTTCCCTGATTTTTCTGGAATGGGATTTTTCCTGCTGGAAGTGAAGGGTTCCAAGGTGCAATCCCGAAATTCCTCCATATGGAAGCTGAGCAGGGGGATCCTGCCAATTCCAGAGGTTTTTAGGGAAACCTGGATTTCCCCAAATTCCTCTTCCCCTTAAGGAATTCCTCAGCTTATCCAACACTACAGCCCTAATTCCTCACGGGTGAAAATCCAAGGGAAACTGAATTCCTGGGAAAAGAGAGGGGTCCTCTGTTGGGATGAGGGATGTTTTGGGATGTGGTGGGAATATCCTGGTGCTGATCCCTTTTCCAAGGATCCTGGAGTGGGATCCGTGTCTCCATCAGAATTTGATCCCGGGAATTTCCTTCCCCATCCATGGGAGCTGCAGCTCCCTAAATCCTGGCCACTCCCAAGGTTCTAAAAGGCTCAGAAATCCAAGGAAATCAGGAGCTCCTTGGGGCTGGGAATCCTTGTCCAAGGAAATCGGGAACTTCCTGGAATTGGAAATCCCTGTCCAAGGAGAGCAGGAGCTTCCCAAGGTCAGAAACCCTATCCAGGGAAATCAGGAATTTTTGGGATTGGAAATCCCTATCCAGGGAAATCAGGAACTTTTTGGGATTGGAAATCCCTCTCCAGGAAAAGTGGGAGCTTCCCAAGGTCAGAAAGCCCTATCCAAGGAAATCAGGAGTTCCTTGGGATTGGGAATCCCTATCCAAGGAAATCAGGAACATCCCAAGTTTAGAAACACTATCCAGGGAAACCAGGAACTTCCTGGAACTGGGAATCCCTATCCAGAGAAAGTGGGAGCTCTTTGGGATTGGAAATCCCTGTCTGGAGAAGTCAGGAGTGTTTTGGGATTGAAAATCCCTACAGAGGAAAAATAGGAGCTCCTTGGGGTTGGGAATCATCATCCAAGGAAATCAGGAACTTCCTGGAATTGGAAATCCCTGTCCAAGGAGAGCAGGAGCTTCCCAAGGTCAGAAATCCCTATCCAGGGAAATCAGGAACTCTTTGGGATTGGGAATCCCTGTCCAGAGAAAATGGGAGCTCCTTGGAGTCAGGAATCCCTATCCAGAGAAATTAGGAACATTTTTGGGATTGGAAATCCCTCTCCAGGAAAAGTGGGAGCTTCCCAAGGTCAGAAAGCCCTATCCAAGGAAATCAGGAGTTCCTTGGGATTGGGAATCCCTGTCCAGGGAAATCAGGAACCTCCCAGGGTTGGGAATCCATGATGAAAAAAAGGAACTGCTCCTGGTCAGAAATCCCTGTCCAGGGAAAGCAGGAGCTTTTTGGGATTGGGAATCCCTATCCAGGAAATCAGGAACTTTTTGGGATTAGAAATATCTATCCATACAAAGCAGAGCTTTTTGGGATTGGGAATCCCTACAGAGGAAAAAGAGGAGCTCCTTGGGGTCGGGAATCCCTGTCCAGGGAAAGCAGGAGCCTCCCAGGGTTACAAACCCCTATCCCTGGAAAACGGGACCTTCTGGGGGTTGGAAATCCCAAACCAGAGAAGCCGGGAGCGTTCCAGGCTCCAAAAACCCTTTTCCAGGGAAGGTGGGAGCTGCTGGGCTGGGGAATCCTGGGAAAGCAGCACCACCAGCCCCATTCCTGCTGCTGATCCGTGCAAATCCCCATTCCCTGAGCGAAGCAGTTCATGGATCAGCGGGATCGGCGCCGCTGGAGCGTGAACAGGGCTGAGCTCATGGAATTCCCGGCTCTTCCCGCTTTTCCCAGCCCCTCTGGAAGCAGCAGCCCGATGGAAATCCCACCCTACAAACTCCATTTGGGGCCGTTTTTGGCTGGGCAGGACGGGATCCATCCCCTGGAGCGATCCCACATTTTCACCTCCTCCTTTTCCCGGTTTTCCTTGGATTTCTCCCCCATTTCCCTCCTTTCCCCACCCCCCTCAATGCTGTAAATTTCGAACGAGGTGTTATCCCAAATAAACTTTTTTTGGAAGGGAGCGGGGCCGGGGTTTTCCTTGGAAAACTGTGGGGTCTCTGTGAGCGGGTTTGGCCGCCCCACCCCTCCCAGTGATCCCAGCCATTCCCAGTTTGGAGCCTGAGGTGGCTCTGTTTGGGAATTTCCCTCCTGGAAAAGCTCCTGGAGGATTTTCCAGCACTTTCACCTTTCTGGGGACTTTTGATTCCTGGTAAAAAGAACCCCAAAGGGATTTTTTTTCCCTTTTTTTTGTTTCCCCTTTTAAGTGGGAATTCCCCCAAAAGCTGCTCCAGCAGCTCCACGTCCATTCCCAGGTCATGGATGTCATCCCTGATCCCAATCTTTGGGATTTCCTCCTTCCTGCTTTTCCTTGGATGCAGAGCCCTCCCTGCCTGTGCTGGCAGGCTCAGCACCCCAATCCCATTCCCATTCCTATTCCTGTTCCCATTCCCATTCCTGTTCCCAATCCCATTCACAATCTTATTCCTATTCCCAGTTCCATTCCCAATCCCCTATCCCATGCCATTCCTATCCTGCCCCATCCCTATCCCACCCCATTCCCACTCTCCCATTCCCACTCCCCCATCCCCATTCCTGCTCTCCCCTCCCCATCCTGCCCCATCCCTATCCTGCTCCATCCCCACACTCCCACCCTGTATTCCCACTCCCCATCCTCAAATCCCATCCATCCCTATCCAGCCCCACCCTGCTTCATCCCTGTGCTCCCACCCCCATCCTGCCCCATTCCCACACTCCCATCCCCACATTCCCGTCTCCATCCTGCCCCATTCCCATCCTCATCCCGCCCCATTTCCATGCTCTCGTTCCCACTCCCCATCCTCTCAGTCCCATCCCTATCCTGTCCCGTCCTGCTTCATCCCCATTCTCCCATCCCCATCCTGCCCCATTCCCATCCTGCTCTGTCCCCTCACTCCTGCTCCATCCTGCCCCATTCCCACTCTCCCATTTTCCCACAATCCCTATCCCACCCCATTCCCACACTCCCTATCCCACCCCATTCCCACACTCCCTATCCCACCCCATTCCCACTCCATCATCCCCGTTGCCACCCCATTCCCACTCCCCCACCCCATTCCCACTCTATTCCCAACCCATTCCTATCCCCATTCCCACCCCATTCCCACTCCCCTATTCCCATTCCCACCCCATTCCCACTCTCCCACTCCCATTCCCGCCCCATTCCCATCCCCATTCCCACTCCCCCACTCCCTTTCCCGCCCCATTTCCCATCCCCATTCCCTCCCCATTCCCACTCCCATTCCCGCCCCATTCCCACTCCCCTGGGCCAGTGCAGCCGTTTTATTGCCGAACCACAAGCCGCCCCGCGCGCGGCACAGCCCCGTCCCTCCCGTCCCTCCGGGGGCCGCTCCGGGGCCGTTTCGGGGCGCCGCCCCCTCTCTGGGGTCCCGGCTCTCAGAACACGTGCGTGTAGAACACGTCCACGTTCCCGGCGCGATCCAGCGGCAGCGCCGTCCCCACCTTCCCGGCTCCCAGCCGCGCTCCCCCCAGCGCCGAGGAGCGCTTCAGCTTCAGCAGGCTGAACCGGGAGAAATCCCCGGGAGCCTCGTCCCGCGCCCGCTCCAGCACCTGGATGAACCCTGGCGACATCAGGGGGGCGTCAGGGGCGACCCCGAAAGCGAGCCCCGCCGAGGCGCGGCCGGCCCCGCTGCGCTCACCCGCCTGCAGGCGCTGCCAGCTGTTCCACACCGAGCCCACGCACACGATGGGCAGCCCCAGCTCGCCCAGGAACAGGCTCTGCGGGGTGGGGACGCTCAGAGGGCACGGTGGCACCGCCGCGGGCGCGGGGACGCCCGGCAGGGGACGGCGGCGGCGCCGCCGGCGCCTCCGGGCGTCGGCCTCACCTGGTGGATTTTGGGCAGCACGGCGACCACGTGGCGCGCCAGCACCTCGCCGGCCTTGGTGAAGATGTGGCAGCACAGCGGGTCACCGAGCTGGGCACCTGGGGGTGGCACCCACGGGGACGTGGGACACTCCTCTGTGTCCCCCCCGGGGGTGGCACCTGGGTGTCCCCACCCCGAGGAGGGCAGAGGGTGCTCGGGGGCAAGGTGCGCCCGGGGCAGAGAGCAGGGAGTGGCAGCGGGAGGGACAAGGGGGCACTGATAAGGGGACAGGGACAAAGGGACAGTGATAAGGGGACAGGGACAAATGGAGACAGGGAAAAAGGGGGACAGGGACAAACAGGTGATGGGGACAAGGGGAACAGGGATGGGAAAGGGGCACAGGGACAAATGGGGACAGGGACAATCTGGGCAGGGACAATGGGGATGGGGACAAACAGGGACAGGGACAAACAGGTGACAGGAATGGGGTGATTCCCTGGGAAGGGGTTTCCCTACCCTCCGCCAGTTTCTGGCAAAATCCCGCGAATTTGGACTTCTCGAAGGTGCGGTAGAGGTGGGTCAGGAGCCCCATCCTGTCCGAGATCTGTGGGGTCGGGGCAGGGGGGCCCTGGGTGAGGTCTGGGGACCCCTCCTGGGCACCCCAACGTCCCCTCCTGGGCACCCCGGGTACAGCTGGGAGTGACCCCAGATCCCAGTACACAGCCCCGACCCCAGGACCCCAAAACACGGCCCAGAGCTCCCCCAGGACCCAACACCCATCCCAAATCCCCTCAAGACCCCAACATCCATCCCAAAACTTCCCCAACACCCTGATACCCATCCCAGATCCCTCAAAACCCATCTCAAAGCCATTCCAAGTCCCAAACCCCCTCAAGACCCCAACACCCATCCCAAAGCTGCTCAAGAACTTGATGCCCATCCCAGATCCCTCAAAACCCATCTCAAAGCCATTCCAAGACCCCAATACCCATCCCAAACCTCCCCAAGAACACCAAACCCATCCCAAATCCCTCCCAAGCACCCCAAAACCCCCGGCAGCACCTGGAAGTAGTCGAACATGGCCTGCCTGACGTAGGCGACGTCGTGGGGCGGCACCTCCAGGTTGTCCATGCAGTCAAACACCATCTTCACAGCCTGGTGAGCGATCCAGTACGCTGGGAACAGCGGGGTCGGGAATGGGGTCAGCAGTGGATGGAGAGAGGGATGGATGGATGATGGATGGATGGATAGATGGATGGATGGATGATGGATGGATGGGGGATGGATGGATGGATGATGGATGATGGATGGATGATGGAGGGATGGATGGATGATGGATGGATGGATAGATGGATGGATGGATGATGGATGGATGGGGGATGGATGGATGGATGATGGATGATGGATGGATGATGGAGGGATGGATGGATGATGGATGGATGGATAGATGGATGGATGGATGATGGATGGATGGGGGATGGATGGATGGATGATGGATGATGGATGGATGATGGAGGGATGGATGGATGATGGAGGGATGATGGATGGATGGATGATGGATGGACAGATGGATGGATGATGGATGGATGGATGGACGGATGGATGGATGGATGGATGGATGGATGACGGATGGATGGATGGATGGTCAGCAGTGGGGTCACCCCTCCCCGGTGCCCCCGGGCTCACCGGAGCCTTCATCCCCCATCATGTGGCCCCAGCCGCCGCAGCCCGTCTCGGAGCCGTCGGGGTTGATGAGTTTGCAGTTGGAGCCCGTGCCCGAGATCAGCACGATGCCACCTGCGGGGTGACACGGTGCCCGGTGTCACCAGTGCCATCCCAGCCACCAGGGACAAGGGACACAAGGATGGGAAAAGGTGGACAGGGACAAATGGGTGACAGTGACAAGGGATACAGGGACGAGTGGGACAGGGACAATGGCGGCAGGGCCAAACAGGGCAGCGACAATGAGGACAGGGACAATGGCGGCCGGGCCAAACCCACCGTGGTCGGTGGCCGTGGCCATGGCCCCCACGGCGTCGGTGGTGATGAAGTAGCTCTGGCTCAGGTGCGGGAAGCGGCGCTGCAGCTCCTCCGTCAGCTTCCCGACGGCGTCCTGCTGGTCCCCTCCGCTCAGCGACAGCCCCTGCCGCACCCAGGGCCACCGTCACCCCCACGGCGGCACCAGGGGGTGGCACACGGGGTGGGGACAGCGCGGGGGGCTCACCAGCGAGCGCAGGGGCACCTGGGGGTCGACGCCCGCTTTGCTCTTGGCCTCGCTGACCATGCGCTCGATCCTCTCCAGGCACTTCTCGGAGCCAATGAGCTGTGACACACCAGGGCACGTCCTGAGGCCACCCGGGTGCCACCTCGGGGGTGCCACATGGTGTTTTGGACACCCTGATGCCACCCCAGGGGTCCTACACGGGTTTTTGGGCATGGGGACACCGTGGCACCGCCTGCAGAGGAGTCCCGCCCGGGTGTCTGCAAGTTTGGGGACAACCAGAAACTGCGACACTCTGTGTCCCACACCCAGCTCCATATCCCATATCTCCGTGTCCCACACCCCACTCTGTGTCCCAAACCCATCTCCATATCCCATATCTCCGTGTCCCACACCCCACTCTGTGTCCCAAACCCATCTCCATATCCCATACCCAGCTCCGTGTCCCGCATCCCACTCCTTGTCCCACATCCCGTTCTGTGTCCCAAAGCCATCTCCAAATCCAGGATCTCTGTGTCCCACACGCTGCTCCATGTCCCAAACCCCACTCCGTGTCCCACATCCCACTCCTTGTCCCACATCCCGTTCTGTGTCCCAAAGCCATCTCCACATCCTGGATCTCTGTGTCCCACACGCTGCTCCATGTCCCAAACCCCACTCCGTGTCCCACATCCCACTCCTTGTCCCACATCCCGTTCTGTGTCCCAAAGCCATCTCCAAATCCAGGATCTCTGTGTCCCACACTCCACTCTGTGTCCCAAACCCATCTCCATATCCCAAACCCAGCTCCGTGTCCCGCATCCCACTCCTTGTCCCACATCCCGTTCTGTGTCCCAAAGCCATCTCCAAATCCAGGATCTCTGTGTCCCACACGCTGCTCCGTGTCCCAAACCCATCTCCATATCCCATATCTCTGTGTCCCACATGCTGCTCCATGTC